GTGCTGTACTGCACCGACTGGCTCGTCTCCTCCCCACCAGCCTTCTGTAAAGGGATATCCAATTGCCTACAGATGGGCTTTGAGTCTCTACTCCGCACTCCCTCTCATTCACATTGATATGATTTTTGTTCTGGGTCTTTGATGCCTGATACCTGATCCCATCAACACCTCGTGATCACACAGGCTGGTGTGTTTCTTGCATATGGGCTTGATGCTTCACAGCTAGATGGCCGCTTCTTTATCCTGAAGCCTTTAAGACCCCAGATGCTATATCTTTTGATAGCCAGGCACCATCAGCTTTCTTCACCACATTTGCTTATACAGCGCCTGCTTTGTCTTCAGCGATTGTGACAGGAAGGTGAGCATCATGGAATGCCAGGTTAATAGAACAAAGTGTTCTTGCATTGAGGGAGTACTTGAGTAGAGGCCAATGTCCATCTGATATCTTAATATTCAACATATAACTATATGGTGGAGCGGAGACCCAAAGCCCATCTGTAGATATCCCCTTACAGAAGGGACACAAGGAAGATACAAGTCAGCCAGGGTGCAATATAGCACCAATGAAACACACAACATTCTTCTAGTTCTTTAATGCTTCCTCCTCCCCCCCCCCACTATCATAACCTCAATTCTACCTTATAAATCCGACTAGACTAGAGCATTTGCACGGCTACAGATAAGAGCTCGCTGGGAGATGGACAACAGAAAAGTGGGTGAAGGGATACATCGGACTGTAAGATATGATAAAGTAATAATTTATAAATTGTCAAGGGTTCATGAGGGAGGGGGATAGGGAGGAGCTGATACCAAGGGCTCAAGCAGAAAGCAAATGTTTTGAGAATGATGATGGCAACCTATGTACAAATGTGCTTGGAAAAAAAGGTGTATTCTATGATGAGGGCAACGAATGTACAAATGTGCTTGACACAATGGATGGATGTATGGATTGTGATAAGAGTTTTATGAGCCCCCAATAAAATTATTTTTTTAAAAAGAGCTCGCAACACAGGGAATCCAGGACAGGTAAACCCCTCAGGAGCAATAATGGGAGTAGAGATACCATGAGGGTAGGGGGAAGGGGTAGGGAAAAGGGGAAACTGACCATAATGATCGATGTATAACTGCCCCCCAAAAGGGGACAGACAACAGAAAAACAGGTGAAGGGAGATAGTGGTCGGTGCAAGATATGAAAATAATTTTAAATTATCAAGGGTTCATGAGGGAGGAAGGGTAAAAATGAGCTGATACCAAGGGCTCAAGTAGAAAGAACATTTTTTGAAAAGGATGATGGTAACATATGTACAAATGTGCTCGACACCATGGAAGTATGAATTGTCATAAGATCTGTCAGAGCCCCCAATAAACTGATTTTTTAAAAGAACTCAGCTCCCACTGGCCAGCTGATAACTGCGGCAAGGCTCCTCCCGAGGCCCAGCTGCAAACCTGATGCTCTCTGACCTGCCAGGTTAAATGCCTGCCCCTGAAAACTCCTCCCAGATGATGGGTGATTGCAAACCAACCCAGCTCAGAATACAAGCGTAGGTCTGTGAGTTACAATGTCTAAACACTTAAGTCATAACTTAAACCAAAAATGGCTAAAGGAAGCTCTTTCCTCCTAATGTACTTTCATAGCGCCCACAGGTCAGGTTCAAGTTTAGAGCCCACAGACACCTGCAGCTCCTTTCCCGACAGGCAGCATGGGAAAAACCAGTCCAGCCCACGGCCCAGCCTTCTCTTCTCATTCCCAGCACCCACAGGCAGTTACTCCAGGCCACATGTCCAATGGTGGTACCATCCACTCTTGGGAGGTGCACCCAACAAAGAGTTGGAAGCAGGCCTGGAGCCATTTGGCCTGGAAGTTCCGGGGTTCCAGGTACCGGGTATGGTCTATAGGGGAGACATGGGCTCCAAGCCATCTCCTTGGCCTGGTACCACCCTGTCTGCTGTGAGGGCATGGCGCAAGAAGTGCTAGGGCAGGACTCAGAACCAGGGGCCTCTCTCGCCCGGCCCTAAGTGCGGTAACTGGTACGTAAGGGCTTCATTCGTCTGCTCTTAGACACGCTTGAAATTTTCTACAGCAAAGGGGATTTTTTAAGTCCCGAAACATGAAGGAGTAAAAGCCCTCCCCAAACAGCTCAAGATCCTGTCTGGGGCTCAAGCCCTAGAGAGGGGAGGCTCCCCATACATGGGCCAAGGCCAAGAGACCAGAAGCCTGAGCGGGAGTCAAGCTGAGAGACACTAGTTTATTTGTATTCCAAGGGCTTACAGCCCAGAGAGCGGTCAGACAGCAGGCGCTGCCAGGCTGCAGGAATGGGCCTGCCCCAGGGATGAGGACGGAGGAGTAAACAGTATACAGGCTATTTGCGTCAAGACCACCCAAGTGGCAAGGCTCAGTGGTTACCAGCACAAGGTGTCCCATTGGACAAAGAAGAAAAACTGACCGGGCGCCTGGCTGTTTGCCCACGTGTGGAGGACTGCTGGGAGGGAGGGGCAGGGTTGTGTCCGGAGGCCTTCTGGGCAGTAGGCAGTACTTGACAAAATCGTGGCCATTTGGGGGTATCTGCCGGCACACCTGGACAGCCCCTAAGATTTGAAGTCTTTACGCGCATCAGTGAAACTTTCCTGTCCACCTGTTTCTCAGACACTGGAAATCTAACCTATCCGGGGTGACGGTGGGGCTAGCACCACATCTATGGGGACACCGTGAACATGTTGGAGAATGATGTGGGTCTCGGCCCTCTCCCAGAACTGAGGTAAAAAACTAGCAACCCAGTAGGGGCCTCCCTGGGCCGGATCCAGCTCCTTACAAGGAAGTAAAAGTGTCCCAGGAAACAAGAAAAGTGGTTCTCCTCCTCCCAGAGCAAAGAATGAGTCTTGTAACTGAAAAGTAGCTGTGTTTAATCATCAAAATTGCCCTGGCCCTGGGGACGAGAACTTACCCAAACACAAAAGGGGTGGGGCTTTCTCGCACTGATTTCAGAGGCTAGTAGAGGTGGGGAAAGAAAGAGAAGCCCAGAGCTGGGGGCAGGTGGCCGTGGTCTTCAGGATTAGCCATCCTGCTCTGAGAGGCTGTGCCTCTGGGCTGGGGAGGGTGGGCTCTCTTGGCCCTCCTCCTCCTCCGTGTCCTGAAGAAGTCTCAGAAGCTTGAGCTCCAGGTTCCAGGCGATCTTAGGTGTCCTGGCTGACAGGTGCCTGGTGGTCTTCTCTTGGTTGGAAGCCAGCGATTCTGGCTCAGCCTTCTCCTGAGCAGGGATGCCCTCCTCATCGGCCTCTGCCTTGATGAATTTCGTACCTAAGAGAAGACCCAGTCGTTAGCTGCACCTGCCACCTGCTCTCAACCTGGGACGAAGTGGGGGAAGAGGGCGAGAACGGAGGGCTGAATGTCTGCAGGAGCCTCTGAAAGCGAAGGACGGTGGTGGGCACAGGCCTGACCCTCCTGTCTTCAGGCACTTACTGAAGCCCTCCTCCGTCCCGGTGACTTACTCGTGTCCTTCGGGGAGAAGTCCAGGGCGTGCTCAGGGTGCTCCAGCGCTGGCCCCTCTGTGGCATCCTGAAACTCATTGGGGTGAATCAAGATTTAAGGAAACTAAAACAATTCTTCTCAAAAATGCTGCTCTGGGCACATTAACGTCTACTACAGGTCCAAAAGCAACCTCCTGATACTAAAGAGGGGTCTGGAATCACACTCTCTGCCCACCACGCTGTCCACATGATCCCTGGGGGGGTAGGCTGAGTGGGGGTAGGGTGCCTCCAAGATGGGTGCCGACAACTTCTTGTACTCCTGTACACAGGTGCTGCTCCTCCCACCAACAGGTGGACTCCAGGTGACCTGTGACAGGTGAGTGTGGCAGCAGCATCCACTCAGGCCGACTTTTTTAGAAAGTGCTTTCTTTCTGAGAGCTCTATGCTGCCGAGGCACCCTGGTGGCGCAGTGGTTAAGTGCTTGGCTGCTACGCAATGCAAACCCCCCAGCTGCTCTACAGGAGAAAGATGTGGCAGTCTCCCCTACATGGTGATAGTGCTGCACATCCTGCGGGCAGGCCTGCCCTGTGCTAGAGGGTCTCTATCAGCTGGCACGGACTCCGTGCTAACAGGTTATGGGTCATGGTGTCCAGCAGCCTGGCCAACTCCCTCAGGCCAGCCTCCAGCGGAATATAGCCACGCCAATGGCCTCTGGCAAGACCAGGATCCTGAGAAATAGCTACTCCCTGGGGTTTAAGCTTTGGGGTGACTTGTTATACAGCAAGAACTGAACCAGGTTCCCTCTCACCTGTTTCAAGGTAGGCCCGGCTCGCTCCAACTGCTGCTGCCTCCGCTGTGTGTGGCTCTCCGGTGCTGGCAGGGTACTGTCACCTAAGGACCACAAAGCTCAGTGAAACCTCCTTACTGGCACTCCATGCTGGCACTCCATGGCCGAGCCCCTAGCCTACAAATGGCTCGTCTTGTCTCCAAGACAAGACTGGATCTTGGTAACAGGAGTTCGGCCTTCTGCATTCTCTTGGTGAGTCTGTCACCAGGGAGTGGGGCAGGTGACACAGTTTTAAACGTCGTGATGAAGATAATGTGTGTGTGGACAGACCCAGAGCTCCTCGAGAAACCCCCGGAGAAAGAGGCGCCCACATGCTCCAGCATTCTCCCTCTCACCCGTCCTTGTTAGGTCAGGAATGCTGCTCTTACCAGCCAGGGGGTTGCTTTCTTCCGCCTTCTCCAAGGGGCCTTTGCGGGTTACTAAATAAAAACAAACACAGAGGCTCTAATTGTGCTTGTTGTTTCCATGTTTTCCTTTGAATTTCCTAACAAGACAACACACTTAAGTAAAGGGACAGAGGAGAGGACAGAGCATTCACAGTAAGAAGAAAGAGTCCTCTAGCCATCCCCACTTTCCTAAGAAAACCACTTTGAACTTTTTGTTTAGATCCCATGCTATCACCTTAAATATTACCTCAACAATATTCTGGGAGTGCTGCCATTGACCCTCCCGCAGCAGGACCAACACTGAGGTCACGTTGCTCTGGCTTCTCTACGTGCCCTTGACCTTCAGAGCCCTCTTGTTGCTTCTTCTGCACCACGTGTTTCTCCAGCTCGTTTCCAAATGCAGTCATTATTTTCTGTCCTTTCTCTAGACAAATACTTCCCATGATGCCACCAGAGATAGCCAGCAAACAGTTTGGCTCCCAGTCTCCCTGCACATGGGAATAACAGGATTCCAGCAGTGCGGCCTGGGTAGATGAGCCTCTCCCTGCCGCTTTGACCTGTTCTCCCACTCTCCCTTAAATGCCCTAGACCAGAGCCACACTGAACCCATCAGTGTTCCCTCCAAGGTTTCATGCCTTGGAGAAGGTTGTTGCCACTCTAGGAATTTCCTTCCATGTCTAGCCCACTCCCACGCTTGTCAAGATCCATTGTCATCATCTCTTCCACAATACCCATCTCTTTCTCAAGCCCAGTGAGGGCAAGCCACTGCTCCAAGGACGTGGCTCACACAGGTAGCCGTCATCCAGGTGAAACTGCTTTTGTGGAGGCCTCAGGAAGCGGCAGGGAAGGCACCGGAGCAGAAGTCGGGCAGGAGGAGTGATCACCCGAGATCAGTTGCTAACCCCCTGGCAAGTCCGTTCCCAACCGGAGCCACCGTCCTGGCTCTTGTCTGCCTCCCATGGAAAGGTGTGAAACCTTGTATCTTTAGGTTCAAGGGCACGCTGAAATCAGAGAGCTCGAGTGGAGGAGCGTCTGAACCAGGAGGGCAGGACTTCCCTCACTGAGCCCTCCCACCGCCCCAGGATTGGAGAGCAAATGCCGGCAGGACTTCCCTCACTGAGCCCTCCCACCGCCCCAGGATTGGAGAGCAAATGCCGGCGCGTGCACGGCGGCCTGCCCATTGAAATGGGCACTGTCCAGACTGAGCAAGGCACAACAAACTTCTCCAGGTCGGGGGATGCTTTTTCCCTCCCTCACCTTCCCCACTCAAGCTGAGAAACAGGAAGCCGGGTCAGTATTAGCCTCAGCCCAGGTGCAGAGCTGGGGAGATGAGACATCCGCACTGTCACCTCCAATATGAACACCAGAGAAAGGGGACTGCTCCTGGTGACGGCTGGACGGTGTGTGGACTTCTCTGGGGAGTCCCAAGACTGTCGAGCGTGTCACGAGAGCGCGAAGCGCACTAGAGCTCTGCTGACTCAGAACTTTCTAGGGCTTTCATGAGGACCCCCAGTTATTCCTGCTGCATTGGCCAGTGGACAGCCAGAGAGCTTCTCTTCCGAAGCTGGGCTCACTTCTACTTCTGATCCTCATGCTGCTCTGCATTTTGCAGGTCGGACTTAAGTCTAAATGACTGTGACCCCTGCTCACGGTCAGCTCCCACATCCCTGTACAAAACTGAAGTCAGAGCAGCCTTTGCTTCGTAAATAGCTAGTAGAGGAGGGTGCATGGTAAGCCAGTTGACCTGTAGCATCCCTGGGAAGATGCGTGGTGCCTGATAAAGGCAGACCCAAGATGGCAAAAACAGTCAAATGTCCCTCCCTTCTGCCACACCCGGGGATACTCCCCAGCACATTGTCTCCCTCCCAGAGACAGTGAGTGGCATTCATGACAGTAACTTCCCCTTTGGGTAAAAGGTGTTCCAACTCTCTGGATCTCTCTGGGGTTTCTTCTCAGCCTTCTGAACAGAACGGAATTAGGACTTGGGAAGTGACAAGAACTTTTCAAAAAGAGTTTGTACAATATAACATCTATAACCAACCAGGTGGGAGCCCCCTATAAATCAGGAAGAATTCCACCTCTCATATCTGCCTTGCTGTCCCAGGCTGTAATTTCTTCTCCTGGGCCCAGCAAGTCCCTGGGGCTCCCTCACGGCCCCTCTATCTGCTCTGTGGGGGTGGGGGGTGGGGTTTGCACCTTCCTCTGCTGCTGCTCCTGCTGCTTCCTGGGGCCCGGCAACCACAGGGCCAGCTCCCTGCCTGCTCCCACCTGCTCCCCAGGCAGCTTGTTTGTGCCCCACTCTGCCCAGTGCTCTCTCCCTCTGTCCAAGACCAGGCCACAGAGCTCTTTGCTGGATGGCAGGGACCACAAGCTGAACTGAGTCAGGACCAAGGGAACGTGTGGGGAATGGGGGTACCTGGAGATTTGGCAGACTCAGAACATCGAGCTTTCCACGGTTTTTTCAAACGCTCAGGATATCTCAGCGCTGGTCTCTGGAGAAAAGGAAAGAAACAGCTCTAGCACGGGCCTCCCCTTTTTCCAAGAGCATTTATTCACCTTTTCTACACGCACATTCTGAGGACTCAGTGTTATGCAGCCAGAGCCCTGCCTGGTGGTGTAGTGGACGCCGCACTGAACTGCTAGCCGCAAGGTCAGTGGTTCAAACCTACCAGCCACTCTGAGGAAGAAAGAGGAGGCTGTGGTATAGTCGTTGAGTGTTGGGCTGCTCCTCCCCGGGAGGAAAAGGAAGCTTTCTGCTCCCACAAGCATTTGTAGTCTCACAGACCCACAGAGGCAGTTTTGCCCTGTTCCACAGGGTCAACACGGCAGCGTCCACTCGATAGCAGTGAGTTTGGTCTGCTCCCTTCAAGATTTACAGTTAGGACGCTCAAGGGGCAGCCCTGCTCCGTCCCAGCGTCAGAATGCTATCAGTCAGAATGGCCCGCACAGCAGGGACTTTGCTTTGTTTCCGAATGTTGGGCAGGGGCTGTGGAAAGCGGTGGAGAAAGAAAACTAGAGCAGTGTCCTCCTCGAACCTTTCCCCGTACATTGACGTCCGAGGGGAAGGGCAGGAGAGAAAGAAGCCGCGGAAAGAACTCTGGCAGCCTTTCGGAGAGAGGCGTTTGGATTTCCATGCGGCCGTCTTCTCTGAGACTCTCTGGCTTACCTGCAGGGTGAGGTGGTGGATAGACAGGAACATCTTTGAGGACAGTGCGCTGGTGGGCCGGCTCTTTTCCAGAGGACCGCTCTTCTTCATCTTGGCCAATTCCAGCCTCATCTGTGCAGACAGCAGGGTCTTACTGTCCCCTGCCAAAAGACTGAAGGGGACGGGGAGCACCAGTTCTGGGAGAGGGTGGTTACAGAGAAAGATTCAAGAAGTCTCCACTCTGGGCACAACAGAGACCTGTAACAACAGGTCCTCGTTTCAAAAGCAAGCCCGCAGTGATTGGCTGTTTACTCCAGGTCAGGCTCACCTGCTTTCAGACCACTGAATCTTTGCAACACGCTGACAGGTATTCTTGTTTTAAAAAATGAGGAAAATGAGGCATAAGGAGGGTAAATCACCAAAACTCATAGAGCCGTAACGTTTCAAGATAAAACTCAAAGACCATCTCATTCCACACCACATAGCCTATCCTGTCTCCCACTTATCCAGAAACTCCCTTTTATCCAGACCAATAAGACAAGGTGTATTTGCACGGGCTTCCCCGCTGCTGTGTACAGTGAAGTCAATTCCACCTGACAGTGGCCTTGACCAAGTACAACGCCCCGTTGGACGTCCCAGGCGCTCGTCTTTACAGGAGCAGACTGCTGGGGCTTTTCCCCTGGTGCAGCCGGCTGTGTTCAAACCACCTGCCCTCCAGTGAGCAGCGAAGCACTGAACCATCAAGGCGGAAATAAAGAGAGGCAGGCATACCGTGCTGAGTACAAGGTGGCCAATGGAGAGTGCTTGGGAGATGTGGGTGATTGATTACCTGTCGCCCGTGCATGCTGCTAAGCCTAAGAACTCAGGAAACAAGTAGGGGAAGCTCTTCTGCCTAGACTAAGGTGACCAGACGTCCCGCTTTTTAACAATTTGTCCCACGTCCCGCGGTATTTTTAAAAAGTCCCAATTTTTGGAAAGAATGCTCGACAAGCTAGGGAATGGCAGGAGAACAGGAAGACCAAATTATTAAGACACCACCACCCACCCACCCACCCCCGTCAATGGTGTCCCACTTTACCAATGTTAAAAAAAATCTGGTCACCTTAGGCCCTACCCTTCTGAGAAAAAGGCAGGGCTCTGGATCTCCTGAAGGACTTAGTGAGATGCTTACTCCTTAATCAGCTCGAAAGGCAGCGTGTCCACGTGGGGCCAGGAAAGCAGCGAGGTGGAGCTGAGCTGATCGAGCAGGTGCGCTGGGGAGGGGGGAGGCACAAGCACCTCCTCAGTTATTGACTGTGTTCCCAAGGAGCCGGGCGGCAGCTTCGACGTCCTGTCCTGGGAGGAAAGAAGTACTAAGGGTCCCCAGCAGCACTCTCTGGAGGCCCCTCTCTTCCCATCCACAGGCTAGCCAGCCAGCAGCCCATCCGGATTACACTCCTGAAGTCCAGGCCCAGCCCAACAAATGTGGATACGCCACATTTCTCTGAGCATCCCTACCCGACTCTTGTCGAGATCATACGCCTTTTGCTTTTGTTGTTTGTTTTTTTCCCAGAAAGGCCATTCACTCGCTCACGAAATTGAGCAAACACGAGTGTGCCCACTATGTGCCTGGCTAGGGCTGAGGGTTCAGCAATGAATGAAATCCAACAAGACTCACCTCTCACCGACTAGCAGTCTTGGAGTTCTGTGAGTTGGCCCAAGCTACATTTACCCAATACATGGCGAAATCAGAATTGGAACCTCGCGTCTTATAACACCTGGTCTATTGAAATTCTAACCCCAATCACCCTGAAGATCAGTCTTCGTGGTCCTGAATGTCCGGGAATGCCCAACCATTTCTCCAGTTTGTCTCTCCACGGCACTCTTTACCTCCCTACTGGGAAACTGGGCCTCTGGATAGAAAGTGACTGGTGGCTGCTCCTGAAAAGGCATTTCTTCTTCATCGGCTTTTGCTGGTTTAGGAAAAGAACGGGGAAGGAGAGAAACCTGACAGGAAACAGACTGGCGCACAAATGATTGGCCAAACACAGAACGTACCTCGGCAGCTTGCCTGCTCTTCTCTCTCCTGCCCTTGCTGGTGTTTGCAGGCTCCTTCTCTGCGCGACTGGAAATAAAAACACCGCATTGCAACTTAGCCCCTGGCACTTGAAACAGGAGCACCAACTGGGTCTGTGAACAATGGCCATGACCACTGTTCTCTGGACAACAGGCAAGGATGGCCGATTGGGAACCACCCGGGACCTGATGCCCCAAAGCTGCTAAAATCACACCTAAATTAGACTCCCCACTATTCTCTCATCTAAACAGTTACTCATTTTCATGGCATTAATCCAAATTAGTCATCTTATATGAGGGTGGGGTTATGTTTGCAAGATTTGGCTCCCTTGCAGAAGGGCAGAATCAAATCTACTTCATTCTCCACGAATCTGCACTGCTTCGCACAGTGGAGGTGTTCCAGAAAAACTGAAGTATGACTGTTGACTCCCACCCCTTCCTCTCCCCTCTTCCTTCCTGCCCGGGACCTGGAGATGGTGGCTGGAGCTGTGTGGCCCATAGAGACCTTACAAGTACCCACAAAGCCCTTTAGACTATGGAAGCCACGGGCTAAGGATGACAGCATGGAAAACTAGCAGGGATTTAGGCTTCTGCTTACCTCATGAAGCTGACATGGTAGTCAAATCCGACCTACCTCAGGGCTTCTTTTATATGAAGGAAAAGCCTTAATAAAATAAACCCTAAATAAAATAGGGGTTTTGTTTATGTCATGTATGTACAGACGATCCCCCAAAATGCCCAAATAAAGAAGTATTCAGAGTATCATTTTTTAAAGAACGATGAAAATAAATCCTTCAGTCTTAGCATCTCTAAGCATCTTAACAAGAACCCAGAGGCCTTTGGGGTCACAAAAGATTATCTGAAGGCTTTCTTCCAGCCGCTGTGAAAATTAGCAAGTCTCGGGGACCTTGGTTGGGATACTCTGCTTCTATCACAAGCCCTGTATGCCAGCCTTTCCCACCACTGGACAAGGCTTTGGGGTTGAGATGAGAGAGAAATTTGCTTCACTGGCAACTTTTTCCACTAGTTTTTGATAACCAATAAGAAAAAACTAGCACTTAGCATTTATTCCTTAATCAAATCTCATAAATATATTGGACCTATAGAATTTGACATAGAATAGTCTCATAAAATCTAAGAGTGGACTAAAACAGACTTCCAGTAGACAATCCCTAGTGGTTGCCAAGGGCTGGGGGCACAGGGGATAGGGGTAATGGAGAGTAACTGCTAACAGGTGTACCGTTTCTTTTAGGAGTGATTAAAATGTTCTAGAATAGATTGTGGTGATAGTTGCACATATATGAATTTACCAAAAAACGGACTTTTACACTTTAAATGATGAATTGTATATAGCGTATATACTCAAATATAAGCCAACCCGAACATCAGCCAAGGCACCTAATTTTACCACAAAAACTGCATTAAAAATGTGCTGAAAAACTCAGCTTATACAGTAGGTGGATTCAATAAAACTGTTCTTTTTATAAAAGAATATTAATTAGCCATAAAGAGAGATGGTACTTTATACAAACATTCCTGGGGCAAGGACCAGGTAGTTCGGCAGGATCCAGACGAAATCTAGAGATACATATGGTAGCCAA